AGAGAAAGGAGGCAGATTACATTCAGGGGTAAACCAATAAGGTTAACAACGGATTTTTCATCACAGACGCTGAAAGCGAGAAGATCCTGGAACAACGTATTTCAAACTCTGAAAGACAATGGATGCCAACCAAGAATTCTGTATCCAGCAAAATTAAGCTTCAGGTACGACATCGAAATAAAAATCTTTCATGATAAACAAAAGCTAAAAGAATTTGCAGCCAGAAAACCAGCATTGCAAAGCATCTTGAGCAAAACACTACACGAGGAAGAAATGAAAAACAATAACCAAAACCATCAGTGGGAAGTGCCTCTATAAAAACAGAGGGCAGGGCGAAAGCTAACCATGGAGAAACAAACTAAATTAAATTAAAAAAAAGAAGATAAATAATCAAACATGGCTGGAAGTACAAACCATATATCAATAGTAACTCTATACGTTAATGGCTTAAACTCTCCAATAAAGCGACATAGGCTGGTAACATGGATTAAAAAAACAAATCCAACAATATGCTGCCTCCAGGAGACACATCTGATTGCAAAAGACATACACAGGCTGAAGGTGAAAGGTTGGGAAAAAATATACCACGCACATGGTCCTCGTAAGCAAGCAGGGGTGGCCATCCTCATATCGAATAAAATCGACTTCAAGACTAAGTTAATCAAAAGGGATAAGGAAGGACATTATATACTGTTAAAAGGAACCATTCACCAACAAGACATAACAATTATCAATATTTATGCACCAAATAATGGTGCTGCGACGTTCATAAAACAAATTCTCCTCAAGTTCAAGAATCAAATAGACCACAACACAATAATTATGGGTGACTTCAACACACCTCTCTCACCATTTGACAGATCCTCCAAACAAAAGTTGAATAAAGAAACTATAGAACTCAATATCACAATGAACAACCTAGACTTAACTGACATATATAGAATATATCAACCATCATCAAGTGGATATACTTTTTTCTCAGCAGCACATGGATCCTTCTCAAAAATAGACCATATATTATGCCATAGGGCAACCCTCAGTAAATATACAGGGGTGGAGATAATCCCATGCATTTTATCTGATCATAATGGAATGAAACTGGAAATCAATGATAAAAGAAGGAAGGAAAAATCCTACACCACATGGAAAATGAACAATATGTTACTGAATGATCAAGGGGTTACAGAAGACATAAAGGAGGAAATCAAAAAATTCTTAGAGATAAATGAAAATACAGACACAACATATCAGAATCTATGGGACACAATGAAAGCAGTTTTAAGAGGGAAATTCATCGCCTGGAGGTCATTCCTCAAAAAAAGGAAAAACCAACAAATAAATGAGCTCACACTTCATCTCAAAGCCCTAGAAAAGGAAGAGCAAAACAACAGCAAATGTAGCAGAAGGCAAGAAATAATTAAAATCAGAGCGGAAATCAAAGAAATTGAAACAAAAGAAACTATTGAAAAAATTAACAAAACTAAAAGTTGGTTCTTTGAAAAAATAAATAAGATCGACAGACCCTTAGCCATGCTAACGAAGAGAAGAAGAGAGAGAACTCAAATTAGTAACATACGGGATGAAAAAGGCAATATCACAACAGACGCTACAGAAATACAGAAGACAATTAGAAATTATTTTGAAAACCTATATTCCAATAAAATAGAAGATAGTGAAGACATCGATAAATTCCTTAAGTCATATGATTTGCCCAGACTGAGTCAGGAGGATACTCACAACTTAAACAGACCAATATCAATAGATGAAATAGAAGAAGCAATCAAAAGACTTCCAACCAAGAAAAGCCCAGGACCGGATGGGTATACAGCGGAGTTTTACAAAACCTTTAAGGAAGAATTAATACCAATACTTTTCAAGCTATTTCAGGAAATAGAAAAAGAGGGAGCTCTGCCAAATTCATTCTATGAGGCCAACATCACCCTGATTCTGAAACCAGACAAAGATACCTCAAAGAAAGAAAACTACAGACCAATATCTCTGATGAACCTAGATGCAAAAATCCTCAATAAAATTCTGGCAAATCGGATACAAAGGCACATCAAAAAAATTGTGCACCATGATCAAGTAGGATTCATCCCTGGGATGCAAGGATGGTTCAATATACGGAAATCAATAAATGTTATTCACCACATCAATAGACTTAAAGATAAGAACCACATGATCATCTCAATAGACGCAGAAAAAGCATTTGACAAAGTACAGCATCCCTTTATGTTCAAAACATTAGAAAAACTAGGAATAACAGGAACTTACGTCGACATAGTAAAAGCTATCTATGCTAAGCCCCAGGCTAGCATCATTCTCAATGGAGAAAAATTGAAGGCATTCCCCCTAAAATCTGGAACAAGACAGGGATGCCCTCTATCACCACTTCTATTCAATATAGTTCTCGAAACACTGGCCAGAGCAATTAGACAGATGAAAGAAATTAAAGGCATAAAAATAGGAAAGGAAGAACTTAAATTATCACTATTTGCAGGTGACATGATTCTATACCTAGAAGACCCAAAAGGGTCTACAAAAAAACTACTAGAACTAATAAATGAATTCAGCAAAGTGGCAGGATATAAAATCAACACACATAAATCAAAGGCATTTCTGTATATCAGCGACAAAACTTCTGAAATGGAAATGAGGAAAAACACTCCATTCACAATATCCTCAAAAAAAATAAAATACTTGGGAATCAACCTAACAAAAGAGGTGAAGGATTTATACAATGAAAACTACAAAACCCTAAAAAGAGAAGTAGAAGAAGATCTTAGAAGATGGAAAAATATACCCTGTTCATGGATAGGCAGAACTAACATCATCAAAATGGCGATATTACCAAAAGTTCTCTATAGGTTTAATGCAATGCCAATCAAAATCCCAATGGCATTTCTTGTAGAAATAGAGAAAGCAATCATGAAATTCATATGGAAAAATAAAAGACCCAGAATAGCAAAAGCAATTCTAAGCAGGAAGTGTGAATCAGGTGGTATAGCGATACCGGATTTAAAACTATATTACAGAGCAATAGTAACAAAAACAGCATGGTACTGGTACCAAAACAGGCGGGTGGACCAATGGTACAGAATAGAGGACACAGAGACTAATCCACAAAGCTACAACTATCTTATATTTGATAAAGGAGCTAAAAGCATGCAATGGAGGAAGGATAGCATCTTCAACAAATGGTGTTGGGAAAACTGGAAATCCATATGCAACAAAATGAAACTGAATCCCCTCCTCTCGCCATGCACAAAAGTTAACTCAAAGTGGATCAAGGAGCTAGATATCAAATCAGAGACTCTACGTCTGATAGAAGAAAAAGTTGGCTCCGATCTACATATTGTGCGGTCGGGCTCCAAATTCCTTAATAGGACACCCATAGCACAAAAGTTAATAACAAGAATCAACAAATGGGACTTACTTAAACTGAAAAGTTTTTTCTCAGCAAGAGAAACAATAAGAGAGGTAAATAGGGAGCCTACATCCTGGGAACAAATCTTTACTCCTCACACTTCAGATAGAGCCCTAATATCCAGAGTATACAAAGAACTCAAAAAATTAAACAATAAGAAAACAAATAACCCAATCAACAAATGGGCCAAAGACCTGAACAGACACTTCTCAGAGGAGGACATACAATCAATCAACAAGTACATGAAAAAATGCTCACCATCTCTAGCAGTCAGAGAAATGCAAATCAAAACCACCCTAAGATACCATCTCACTCCAGTAAGATTGGCAGCCATTATGAAGTCAAACAACAACAGTGCTGGAGAGGATGTGGGGAAAAGGGTACTCTTGTACATTGCTGGTGGGACTGCAAACTGGTGCGGCCATTTTGGAAAGCAGTATGGAGATTCCTGGGAAAGCTGGGAATGGAACCACCATTTGACCCAGCTATTGCCCTTCTCGGACTATTCCCTGAAGACCTTAAAAGAGCGTACTACAGGGATACTGCTACATCGATGTTCATAGCAGCACAATTCACAATTGCTAGACTGTGGAACCAACCCAGATGCCCTTCAATAGATGAATGGATAAAAAAAATGTGGCATTTATACACAATGGAGTATTATACAGCACTAAAAAATGACAAAATCATGGAATTTGCAGGGAAATGGATGGCACTAGAGCAGATTATGCTTAGTGAAGCTAGCCAATCCCTAAAAAACAAATACCAAATGTCTTCTTTGATATAATGAGAGCAACTAAGAACAAAGCAGGGAGGAAGAGCAGGAAGAAAATATTAACATTAAACAGATACATGAGGTGGGAGGGAAAGGGAGAGAAAAGGGAAATTGCATGGTAATGGAGGGAGATCCTCATTGTTATACAAAATTACATATAAGAGGTTGTGAGGGGAATGGGAAAATAAACAAGGAGAGAAATGAATTACAGTAGATGGGGTAGAGAGAGAAGATGGGAGGGGAGGGGAGGGGAGATAGTAGAGGATAGGAAAGGTAGCAGAATACAACAGTTATTAATAGGGCATTATGTAAAAATGTGGATGTGTAACCGACGTGATTCTGCAATCTGTATTTGGGGTAAAATTGGGAGTTCAAAACCCACTTGACTCAAATGTATGAAATATGATATGTCAAGAGCTTTGTAATGTTTTGAACAACCAATAAAAAATAAATAAATAAATAAATAAAATATCCTTTGAAGTCCCACATGTTAAAGGTTTAGTCCTTGACTTGGTGCTTTTGGAAAATGGTAGAAACTTTTAGAAAAGAGGTGGGGTGGTGGTTATGGGGAATGTGCCCACCAAGTGGCTTATGAGAACCCGGCCCCTTTTCCTCCTTTCTCCTTTGCTTCCTGGCCACAGCAATGTGAGGTGCTTGGCTTCTCTACCTGCTGACATGATGTGCCGTCTCACCACAGGTTCAAGAGCAACTGGGCCAGGGCTGGGGATGTGGCTCAAGCGGTAGCGCGCTCACCTGGCATGCGTGTGGCCCCGGTTCGATCCTCAGCACCACATACAAACAAAGATGTTATGTCCGCCGAAAACTAAAAAATAAATATTAAAATTCTCTCTCTCTTAAAAAAAAAGGCAATAAAGCAACACCCAGAACCAGCTTCACGCTCAGGAGAGACCACTCAGCTCCTCCTCGTGGTTTTCGGTACTCTACACAATCAGAGAAACTTCTCTAGTAACATACTATAGAAATGATCCCTGAAAGTATAGTCTTAACAAGCTCCCACCGGGACCTCCTTGGTCTACCAGGATTAATCACTTTTAAGTGATGATGAGGTAGTTTCCCTCACTTCTGATTTTGCTGTAAAATGAATAGTAAAACGCGCTTTTCGATATGATATTTCCAAATATTATCACTTAACAACGCAGTTTAACGTTTTAAATGGAAACGAACTTGTTTAGAAAAGTTTTCAAATGTCATGCTAAATTAACATAATGCCGAATGACAGCCAATCACCACCTGAGTTTTAAAGCCAAGGAGGCGTTCTATTCTTGGTTCTAGTAATGTGGCCCCGCCCTTTACAGCTAAAGGAAAAGGTGGGCTTTTACCTCTACTACTGAACATCTGGTTGCTTCTGGTGATGGGTAAGTCAAACAGTAGCTCAAAATGGCTGGTCTAAGAATTTAACTTCAAACACTAATAAGAACATGTCACTGTGAGCGTGGCTGAGACCCAGCACTTGGAAAACAAAATCTTCTGTGTTTAGTGCTGTGCTTGCCTTGAATATTAAAAAGGAATCTAGTTCTCTGTGGGTTAGGCATTATTTTTTCCCTGAACAAACATGAGAATGTAAGTGTCAACCATAACAGTATTAGGTGGTTTTGTTTTTTGCAATCCTGGGGATTGAACACAGGGGCACTCTATCCCTGAGCTATATCCCCCCCCACAAACTTTTTTATTTTTTATTTTGAGCAGGATCTAGCTAAATTGCTGAGGCTGGCCTCCAACTAGCTATCTTTCTGTCCCAGCCTCCCCAGTCCCTGAGATTACACACATGCACCACCTTGCAGAGCATATTAGCTACTATGTATCAAGAGCCTGTCACATATTCAACAATATTTTGAGTGTTTTTTTTTTTTTTTTTTTTTTGGCACTGGGATTAAACCCAAGGATAACTTTACCACTGAACTATACCCTCAGCCCTTTATCTCTAGAGTCAGGTCTCACTAAGTTGCCAAGACTGGCCTCAAATATGTGATCCTCCTGCTTCAGCCTTGCAAGACAATGTCTTTACAGGCATGAACCAGAATGTTTGTGTGGACACAAGGGACACTCTCTGGGGTTCATCTGGACAGCTTTTCTTTCTTCTTGGTATTTGGGATTTAACCCAGGGGCAATTTACCATGGAGCCAACATCTCTTGGTGGGAAACCAGGGATTGAACCCAGAGGTACTTAAACACTGAGCCATATCCCCAGCCCGTTTTTATTTTTTATTGTGAATTAGGGTCTCACTAAGTTGCTCAGGGCCTCACTAAATTGCTGAGACTGGCTTTGAACTTGTGACCCTCCTGCTTCAGCCTCCCAAGCTGCTGGAATTACAGGTGTGCACTACCACGTCCAGCACTCAGTCCTGAAGAGATCTTTGCTCACGTATTCTGTCTCCACTAGCTCCCTGTTTTCATGCTTTGATGAGCCTCCCCATTTAGAACACAATTCGGTTGTTACTGCTGCTCTTTCAAATGCCCTGATTCTCTACTTTCTTTGAATAAATGGCTGAGTGTTATCAGACTCATTGAGCATTGTTCAGCCCTCTTTCTCCCTTTGTGGTGTGGTATCAGTTTCACCAACTGAAGAGATAAATGAACCAAAGTCACAGAGGCCTCCTTTTAAAGCAAATGCTGTCATCCTCTCCAAGCCCTTGCCTTCTTTGATTTCAGTGTCCCATTTGGGGCACTTCTAATAACCACCTTCATTCTTAAAATTTCTGCTTTCATGGGTTGAGGACATTATGCTCCTCTACTTCTATTTATTTATTTATTTATTTATTTATTTAGTTGTAGATGGACATGATACCTTTTATTTCTTTGCATTGCTGAGGATCCAACCCAGTGCCTCACATGTGCTAGGTAAGTACTCTACCATTGAGCCACAACCCCAGCCCCCCTACTTCTATTTTTCAGACCACATCTGTTTTCTTTGGGCATATTCTAAGGCTCAGCTCTTTTCTTACTTTTTTCCCCATGAAACTCTTCTTTCAGAATTATCTATCTATCTATCTATCTCTTAGAGCCTTGTGCTTGCTAGACAAGCACTCTACCACTGAGCTATACTGCCAGCTCCTGATTTCATTTTAAATGCAAAATCTCAAGCCTCAAATTAGTCCTTGGATCTATCCAGCAATCCTACTCTTTCTCCAATAGGCTCACATTCCCACTCCCTAGAAGTTCTACAAGGAGCTTTCCCTTTACTGAAACATATACACCATTTTCTCATTTTCAGTTTTAGCAAAAGACCTCAACTCATCCATTAATGAGAAATCAGAAACCATCAGGTGGAAACTTATCTTTCCACAAACAAAGCTACAAAATCCTGCTTTTATCCCTAAATTGCTCTTCTGTTACAATGAAGAGCCCTTTCGAAAGTCTGTTTCTCCTCTTGTGTTCTGTTCCTTTCCCCTTCTTTATTTTTCACTCTTCTTTCTATTCTCGTTAAGCACCAATCTCTTTCCTGCTTTAGGGCTTTGCATAAGCTCTGCAATATTAAATCCTACAACATGCATGAACGCTAAAGACATTGTGCTAAGTGCAATAAACCTTTGTCACAGAAGGCCACTATACTTAGTCCATTTATTTTTCAGTTATGTGAGTGTAAAAATAGACTTATAGAAGAAAAAGAATAGAGTGTGCATTGCCAAGGACTAGTGAGAAGGAAAAAAAGGGGAGTTAGTTGCTTGTGGGAAGCCGTTCTCGCACATGATTTGAGCTACCTCCCTGGCTGGGTGTGAGGTGCTTAAACAAGCTGTGTCAGAGCCTTCCCCACCCTTCCCCAGGTGCGAGGGCTTGTCCATGTTGGGGTGTGACTGACCACTGACCTGAAAACCAATCACTGACCCTGACCTTGGAATCCTGTCCCCCTCGACCGTCATTGGATGGAATTTTCCCCTGAATTTTTTGTTACCCAACAAAAGCTCACTCCCTGGAGTGTTTCTCTCTCTCTTGCTGGTCTCTTGTGTAAACCTCGCTACAGGTGGCTAGAGGCAGGAGCTGGGAGGGGCCATCTCTGAGCTGGGCAAGAAAAAGGTAGATTGAGAGTTATGTGTCTTTAATTTGAACTCACTAGTCAATTTCCATGTTTCGAACCTCTAGTATGAAGCTAGCGTGCTGGGCATGTGGCTGAAAGAATGAAATTGGTTGGGGTTGTAATTCAGTGGTAGAGCCCTTGCCTTGCATGTGTGAGGCCCTGGGTTCACTTGTCAGCACCACATAAAAATTAATAAAAAAAAATAAAGATATTGTGTCTATCTACAACTAGAAAAAAATATTTAAAATATTTTTTAAAAAGAATGAAACTGGCATTCTTCAGTAAATGAGTGGAACTGGTTCTTATATGAAACATGATTAGTGTAACTCCCCATCCTATATGACCACAAAAGTTATACCTGGGAAGTTACACTCCATATATGTGTGATATTTCCAAATACATTCTACTGTCACGTATAACCAAAAAGAACAAATAAGAAAGAAAAAAAATGTAGTATCTACAACAATGCAGTTTTACTCAGCCATAAGAAAGAATGAAATTATGGAATTTGTCAGTAAATGGATAGAAATGGAGAACATTGCGCATAGGTAAATAAGCCAGACTCAGAGAATCGAGGGTTGAATGTTTTCTCTCATATGCAGAAGCTAGAAAAATGGCGTGGGAGGGATTGGACATTATAACAATATAGGGAAGATGAGTGGAGTAGGAGGAATTGGTAGGAAAGGGAGGAAATGTGCAATGAATTAATGAAATCATCCTATGTGCATATATAATTATGCCACAGGGAATTTCACCTTTCTGTATTTGTAGGAAGCACCAATCAAAAATAAATAAAGGAAGATGAGTAGAAAAAGGGAAGGGAGGAGGAGAGGGAAAAGGGTGGGGGATGAAGAAGTGAAATGGAGTAAATCAAATCCCATGCCTGAGGGCCTGGGGTTGTGGCTCACTGGTAGAGTGCTCGTATTGCACATGCGAGGCCCTGATTTCAACCCTCAGCAACTCATAAAAATAAATAAATAAAGATATCATGTCTCACTGAAAAATAAATATTTAAAAAAATATTTAATGCATGTATCATTTTGTCAAAATGATCCCATCTACTATATAAAACCATAATTCTCTAATTAAAAAAAGAGAAAGAGAGAATGTGTATCAAATGTCTGACTTCAAGGATTGCTAGGCCTATGGTGAGTAAAAACTGTCACTTCCTAGAAAGTCCAGAAACCTCAAAATATTAGGTACTGCACGAAAAGTCTGGAGCCTGCTTGGTTTGGTTTCCTAGGCTCGAGGTTTTGAAATCTAGCCTGAGGGGCTGAGGCTATAGCTCAGTGGTAAAGTGCTTTCCTCACATGGGTGAGGTACTGGGTTCAATCCTCAGCACCACATAAAAATAAATAAAGATACTGTGTGTTCATATACAACTAAATAAATGTTGTTTTTTTTTAAACTTACCTGAGGTTCCTTGTAAAATGTTCAATGAAACAAATTTTATTCATGTATTGATGCTGGGAATTAAGCCCAGGGGCATTTTACCTTTTCAATACAAGTTATTTTGAGTTGCTGAGTCTGACATAGAACTTTGATCCTCAGCCTCCCACATAGCTGGGATTACAATATTTCACCTCACTCTGCTATTTATTTGGGGGATATTTACTTTGGGGGGAGAGGATCTCACTCTGTTCTTCAAGCTGGTCTTGAACTCCTGGCTCCAAGTGATCTTCCCACCTCAGCCTCCCATATATCTGGGATAACAAGTACTGGCCACTACTCCCAGCTAAAGCATTTTTTTCCTTTTTTTTTTTTTTTGTGTGTGTGTGTGTGTGGTGCTGGGGATCAAATCCAGGGCCTTGCACATGGTAGGCAAGTGCTACACCTCCAAACTACATCCCAGCCCCAACAAGACATTTTAAAAGAGCCTATGTAGGGGCTGGGTTTGTGGCTCAGGGGTAGAATGCCTGTCACTGGGTTCTATCCTCAGTACCATATATAAATAAATAAATAATAAAGGTCC